GTTATGTGTATGTGAGTGTGTACAAAAGTCTATATGTCTGGGTTTTGAGCAGTGCGTAGTGTTTGCTTTTGCGAGTGAAAGAATCAAACAAGTATGCATCTGGCTGCTTAATTAAATAATAGTCAAATTTTATTTCAACTTCATTTTCACTTTTGCAGATTTCAATGGGCACTAAGGTTGAACATCATTGAGACATGAGTCCTTAAATCCTTTGGGGGCAGGGAAGAGTTAATAAAATTAGATCAACTTCAGAATTTTATAGAAGTTGAACAGTTTGAATGAACACAAATGATCTCATCACTTAAATGCCCCAATAGAGCCTCCCTTTCATTTTATTTCATTTTAGGACAGAGTCTTGCTAGGCCGTCCAGGCTGGCTTCAAACTCATGATCCTCCTGCCTCCAATTCCTGATTGCCGGGATTACAGGCATGCACCATCACTCGGTTCCTTTTCATGTGGTTAAGCTGGTTGTTTACATACAGTGTCTGTTCTGAGTCCAGATACGGGAGGTGGAGCTGGTTAGGTCTCAGAGGGCCTGTCTCAGGAGAGAGGACAGACGCCAGGGGCCAGCAGTCTAATGGACATGGTGCAGAGTTCAGAGTCAACAAGTCTGGATGGACTTAGGTGTACCTCAGCGCTTACCTAGCACGAGCAAGGCCTGGGGCTTGATTCCCCAGCACCATAAGAAAGAAAAGCATGCCAGGTCTTTAGCCTGCCTTGGTCACTTCTCAGCATGATTTACCATTTGGATAAGTCAGCTGACTCCTGTGAAGTTCGCCTCTGGAGCCCCAAACGATCTCTTTGGGAGAGAGGACGTGTGGAAGCGTGTGGCTCCGAGTTACTGCCTTTCCCCTCAGTGTTCGGATGAGGTGTGCAGTCAGTCCGCTTGCTTTTTTGTTCCACCTAGCTGGCTGGTTAAACGCATGCGCCCTCTTCCTAATGTTGCATCTCTAATAGCATTCTAGTCCGTGCCTCAGATCAAAAGGCTCGATTTTTTTTTTCCTGGAAGTGAGAGCATTTGCCCCAACATGAAGCAGCCACTTAGAATAGCAATGACATTTTTTTTCTGCTCTGGGCCAAGCACTATTGCTGCCTCGTAGCCTGGATTCTCAGTTCCAGCACTACTGACTTTCAGGGCTAACTGTTACGAGCAGCATCCAGGCCTGTCCCTGTTAGATATTGGTTTTAGCCTCTCCACCCAGGGTTCGTCCTGTCTCAGCCTCCCATCTTGCTGTAGGAGCACCGGGATTCCAGATGTGCTACCTCATCCAGCTGTAGCTGGGTTCTGGGAAAACAGACTCAGCTTGTGCAGCAGGGTCCCCTGGGTCGTCTCCTCAACCCTGTCCTGTATGTCTCAAACTCTGTCCTTTCAGATAGCCTCTCCACGTAGTCTGAGCTGGAATTCTTCAGCCTGGCCAACAGTTATATTGTTTACTGGGCAATGGACCGGGGGTCTGCAGGAATTCCCTCAGGTCTAAAGGCACTTGGAGCTCATAGAGATGTGGAAGAAGACCTCAGACACTATCATGATACGCAGGACCATGGGCAGCAATTTAAACAACTTTAAGAATAAAGTAAGACCGAATACCCAGCCATAAGAAACTGTTTTCAAATAAAGGAGTCATCTAGAGGATGTAATGCCATGTGGACATTTGTGGAATTGGGGGTCTTTTATATGAGCTGATGTATTTTAAGTGAATAATGCATGCAAAAAATGGTATACAAGCTGAGCACCATGGCACATGCCTATGGGAGACTTGGAAGGCTGAGGCAGAGGGTTACCTCAAGTTTGAGGCCAGCCTGGGCTATGGAGTAGAATGCACTAAATAGCTTCAGTTAGCCAGCTTTCTAGTCCTGTTACGAAATAGCAGACATAAACTTCTTATGAGGAGGGAAAGTTTATCTGGGCTGACAGTTTTAGAGGTTTTCATCCACGGCCTGTTGATCCTGTTAGCTTTGGGTCTATAGGCAGGCAAGAGAGTGTGGTAGAATAAAGGTGCCCTCTCCAGCCCCCCCCCCCCCCCCGCCATCCCATTTTTAAAAATAGTTTCTACTTGCTTGAATCAATTACCTTAGGACAGTTCCCTTTGACTATAGTGATCATATATTCAGGATCTAACATAAAGACATGGCCAAGGGTTTTCTGAAGACTCTTGAAAAAAAAGTACTAATTTTAAATCACATTTATACATCTAACAAAAATGACTTTTTTACTAAGATTTATTTTTATTATTTTTAATTGT